TCTTATAGACAAATGGAAAAAAAAACAAAGAGAAATGGTTAAGGACAGGAAAAGGGAAGGGACATGAGCCAAACAGGGTTCATTTGTGCTGGCAACAGCTCTAGTAGGATGTGATAAGCTTAATAAATCCTTTTTGCCTGCAGGAGGTTCTGAGGTTTTCTCTCACACCCTTCTGTTCCATCACTCTCTAAAGAAACTGTCAGGTGATATCTACCAGTGAAAATCACTTAAAAGGTGATACCAGATCTTCATTGTCTGTTCAAGCCAAGTAAAACCAATTTCCCCTATTACATCCTGACCTTGAGGCTATCTATTTATGGAACTTCTCTTATGGAAATTACTTTTCACATTTCTTCACACTTAAAAATCCATATTTTGTGTGTGTGTGTGTGTGTTTATGTATTGAAACAGACACACACAGAGTCATTCACATACAAATTTTTCCCATTTCCACATGGAACATTTTATAAGCAGAGGCCACTAGAAGCGGTAGATGTAGATGAATTTCCTGGAGGCAACGGGATTCTCATTTGCAAACCGGTATGCTAAAGACTTTATGAATATCAAATTGGATGGATTTGGCTTTATGGTTCTTACTCTCTGACTTGTTATTTTGTTGAAATACAGAAATATCTAAATGTGTCCTACATGAATGAAGTTTTGCATATAATTCTTTCTTGCATTGAGGATGGCATCAAAATGTATAGCTGGTGCTGCTCCATGTTTGGAGTATGGATGTAATGTTCCCTCATTTTGTTCTTGTGACAATGAAAAATTTCAAAAGTGTTCCTTCCATGGAACATGGTTAAGCAAAGCTTTGTGCATTTTTAAAATATTTCAGCATATTTTTTTTGCAAAACATTTGTGCTAGTATTTGCAGGAGAAAACCCTGTACTTTGCACAGAAAAACTCGTGTTTGGGGCAAAATGAAACATTTTTTAAATCAACATTTTTCACATAACCCAACCATCCACAATTTGTTTGTGAATGCTCTTGCTGGCGAAGAATAATGGCCTTTTCATTCTCACATAGCACAAACATTCTCACAGATTTTGCCATTTTTAACAGCATGTGTCAATTTTTGACTACAGGAATAGTAGACCATTTTTCATTGATAACAAGAAAATGTGCACATATTCACTGCATCCTTAATCTGGAGGTTGGTTTACCAGCTACTGAGATTTCACCATGCATAGCTCTGATAAACTATTAGCTACATTTACTATGCTTACAGACACACAAATTGCTATTTCTAGTGCTTGTTGATTGCTATGTCTGTTCTCTGCTAAAGACCTACCGAGTGAAATCAGTATTGATCTCTCCTGGGAATGTAATGATTTTGTGTGTGCTTAAAACATAGAAACTTAGATATAGATGGCCAACATACCATGGTTCACTGAGAGGGGTTACTTTTCCCTCTAGCCACGGTTTAATCTTTTATTTACCACATTTCTTTCTTTCTTTCTTTCTTTCTTTCTTTCTCTTTCTTTCGTTCGTTCGTTCGTTCGTTCGTTCGTTCTTTCTTTCTTTCTTTCTTTCTTTCTTTCTTTCGTTCGTTCTTTCTTTCTTTCGTTCTTTCTTTCGTTCTTTCTTTCTTTCTTTCTGGTCGCAATGACCAGATGGGCGGGATATAAATAGAATAAATAAATAAATAAAATTTTCTTTATTTCTTTCTAACTAATGTGGTGTAGTGAATAGAGTTGATGAATTTCTTTCTTTCTTTCTTTCTTTCTAACCAATGTGGTGTAGTGAATAGAGTTGATGAACTAGTAGTACTCAGGATATCTGGGTTCAAATTCCCATTTGGCCATGGAAGCTCACTTAGGGATAGCAGTGGTAAAACCATTGCTTAAATATTTCACATGCTTTGGAAATCCTTTTAGGATTACTGTAAATTAGGTGTGACTTGAAAGGACCTATAGCAAAAATATATTTATTAAACTTAACAGTGGCAAGATTTGGAAAGGTTTTTTACTTGATAATTTTAGTGCCTTACTGTCTGCTTCACTAATGACCTGTATGATAGATAGACCACTTCCCTTCTGCTTCTGCTTTTATTGTCCTGAAGACAATGGGTGCATCTTAGTCTGGTGTTTCAGCTTTGACCATTCCAGCTTGGTTGACCTGCTAACAGTCTAGACTCAAAATGAATTCTAGCTACCTAATCATATGGCTCCCAGCTTCCCAAGCATATTCAAACCTCCTCATCACATTAAGGTGTGCATCCAAGAGGGGAATCTTTACAGTGCAGTGCAGGATCAATGGCACTGACACTCAGACTAACTCTTAGTAGTATGCAGATAAAGGTAATGATAAGTCACTTCTGAATATTTGTTCCTCAGAAAAAATAAGATGAAACAATTAAAAATAACAAGCGATAGTGCTGGAGGATGAGATTGTCTGGTTAGAAGGCACTCATTCAACTACTGGGGAGGAGCAAAGGATAAGTACAAATAGTGGTGTTACAAATGAAGAAAGTGGATTAAAGCTAGAAGGATATCTAACTGCTGATGTACACAGAAGTAAAAAGAAGAAACAATATAGCTGTAATAGGGTGGCAAGACATAACACAAGTAATTAAGGGTTAACACAAGGTGTGACCAATCCATATCAATTAGACTTCATGAAAAACCTATTAACATATTGACAATTCTGTTGAGAATTTTGGTTTGATATATGTATTCTCAGGACATAAGCAGAGTTAGGAGATATCAGGTTGCAAAGATACTATAACACTGAGAGAGTAAAAGACCAACTATTAACATATATACAGAGAGAATAGACATTCATCTGGCAGCATAACATAACATGGTACAATATATAGCATAGAAATAAGTGATCTGACTTACAGCAGATGACTTATATATATTCCTGGGACCAATCAGAAAATACATTACTTCATTTTCTACTTACATAACGTTACATTCAAGTCTATAGCCCGCTTAGACACTGAGAAAGAAGAAATCAAAAGCATCTGTCCAAGTGTCCAGGTGGAAATTAATCACAAACCCAAACAGAATATACCGATTATCATGGGTAATCAGAATGTAGAGGAAGGAAATAAAGCAGATCCAGACATCATTAGAGAATTTTAGCCTTTTCTGTTTTTTTTTGGGGGGGGGGAATGCATATTTCAGGCAACGGAACAGATAAACAAATTATTGTACACATGGACATGATACCAATATGGAAATCAAATAGACTATAATTGGAAGATGGAGACGTGCTGTTCTATCTGCAAAAACAAGACCACAAGCAGACTGTGGTACTAACCATAAACTGTTAATATCACAAAAATAGGATAAAGTTGAAGAGCGCTAAAACAACCATAGTGCTAAAACATCATTTAATTAACATTCCTGAATTTAGAAACCATATGAAGAACAGATTTGTGTGACTGTACTTGACAGAACATGCCCCAGAAAAACTGTGGCATGAAACCAGATTACTGAGAATAATATATGAAGACTATTCCTGTAGTCAAAAGAGGCCTTGAAGTATTACTGAGAAAATCTCTTACAATTATAAACAACAGAAGAGAAGCTGAAGTAAAAGGTGGCAAAATAATATAAGAATCTGAACTGCAATTTGTCAGTTATTTAACAGAGGGACAAAGACGATGACGACAACAAAGGAAATAGAAAGTATCTCTTCCATAAGACAGAAGAAGCAAAAAGGAAATTTAAACCAAGATTAAAGATGCTGAAGGCCTTCAGATATATTTTACTCGACCACTCAGAAGCTGCAGCCAATATGGTCAGTGTTAAAGGATTGTAGGACTTAATCTAAAGCAATACTTCTCAACTTTGGGCCCCCTGATGTTCTTGGACTACAAGTCCCAGAAATCCAAGCTAGCACAGTTGGTCAGTGTTAAAGGATTGTAGGACTTAATCTAAAGCAATACTTCTCAACTTTGGGCCCCCTGATGTTCTTGGACTACAAGTCCCAGAAATACAAGCTAGCACAGCTAGTGGTGAAGTCTTCTGGGGTTTTTAGTCCAAGAACATCTGGGGATCTAAGTCTGGGAGCCATTGATCTAAAACATCTGGAGAGCCCAAGGTTATTTATCCCCTTAATTTCTATACTAGAAGCTGAGCTTGAATGATACTTGCACAGAACTCAAGCTTTCATTCCTCTTCTTTAGTTTTACCTCACTAAAATATCCTGGCAATGTTTTTAATTATGTCACAACTGGCTGAGCAATCTACTGTTACATTTTAACTATCCTGTTCAAGATTATTCCAGTTTTCTGATCTGTCCAAAACTAGAATTATCCTTTGCCATCTGCAGTTTGATGTTAACAAACTAACTAAATATACTCAACCAAATGACAGCAGGGTTAATGAGCGTTTTTGTTGGGTGATTTGGGAAGAAATTGTTTGCTTTAGGACAGGCTTGTTCTGAGTTGTTGTCCCTTTGTCTTTTGTCAACAAGTGTTACAACATGAAACACATTGTAATAAAGCTTAGGAAAATTATGGCTCTCAGCAATATTTTTATATGGTGCTTAAGCTTTCATCAGATCAAAATATTTGCGACTCATTTAATAACCATCTGCTCCATAACAGCAGAGAATTTTTGGAAAGACAAGGCTCCCTATTTCCTAAATGCATATTTCTCCTTTGGAAAGATTTGTAAAAAGTGTTAACCTGAAGGATATGAGACATGATACTGGTACATGGCTTTCAAAATAATATTTGATTCATGTATGCCCATAGGAAACTGTGAACACATTAGTAGATAAAGTAGATTTTGGATGTGCTTTAATTCAGAAACAATAGAATGTCTAAGTTACATTTCTGAAGGTAGATATTAATATTGTTTATGGAGCTGAAAATAATAAGACATCTGGAAATGTTCTTTTTCAGTGAAACTGCATGAGTATCTAGCGCCGGGAGGAAAATTGCCTTGGTTTGTCAGGGCAATAGCTCGTTGATGTGTGGAAAAGTGGGGAAAATAAAATGGAAACTTGCCAAGCCGAATACATATGCTTTCTTACAGCTTCGACGGATGACAGTGCAGCGGAGAAGAAAGGTGGAACTCTTCATGCAGGCTTAATTGTCGGCATTTTCATACTGGTCCTCATAGTTGCAGCAGCAGTACTTGTCACAGTCTACATGTATCATCATCCCACATCAGCAGCCAGCCTCTTCTTCATCGAGGTAAGATGCATTTACTGTACTTGATCACCAAAGGTGCCGCTTCTTATCTATTCAGCAGCTGACCCTGCTTCCTGTAAAGTGAAGCAGTAAAATAGTCTTAAGAGTCATTTGTCTTTTGCAGAGATGTTGTTGTCATTTGGATTTGATTTACAATTCTTGACCTTTTGCTAGATAGTCCAATAAACTGGCAGTGATTGTATCTCAGGCCATTCGAACAACAGTGCATTTGGAGCGTGATCTCCCCACCACTAAGAAAACCACGGTGCACTGAGTGCAAATTTTTGTAGGTTCATGCACTCCCGGGAAGCAGAAAATTGCTCCCTGTCTTCTCCAGAGTCATCAGTCCTATTGTAGAGCTTTTCAGTTGTCTGCCATTGTGGGCAAAATTTGCCCCACCCCGATGCTGTTGGACTCCAGCCCCCTAATTCCTCACCATTGGCTATGCTGGCTGAGGTTGATGGGAATCTGAGTACAACAACATTTTCAAGAGAGCCCTTCAACCCCTCCTGCTTTAGAAATTGCCTAGAGGACTTTTGACTCCAATAAACAGAGAGAGAAGACAGGGAGAGGTAGGAGAGTCGGTTGGAAAAGGACCAAATGAATCAATGAAATCCAAAACTGAAAATGAAACACTTTCAGTGCTTTCTAGCTCAATCCTAAAGTATGTAATCTTTTTCTTGTTTGTTAATAAATGGTGTTGTGAAGCAAGTCATCACAGCAACATAACACTGTGGTGAATCCACAAGTGATGTACTTTGTATCTGTTGAAGGCCTTCATAATTTACATCTCTGCTGCCGCACACAGTAAATGGCAAAATCAGCTTAATATAATGGAAATCTCTCACAATGAACTGCAGTCTTTTTGGGCTTAGCAAGTCTTTCAGTTTGCAGAATTCTTTCAGACATCCTTACTCTGTGCTCTAGTGGATGAAACAACACGGCTTAGAAATGGTCCGCACTGCAGACATTATGAGTTTCTTTTGCAACAAGCCCATGGAATGAAATGCTTATAAAGTCTCAGCAAACTTATACTGAAATAAGAGTATACACAGTGCTCATAACTGCTGTAACTGCATTCTTATAATAGGTGAAATGTCTTGCATTATTGGCATACATAAAAATTATATAGCTCCTTTTAAGCCCATTATAAGGCATGACATTGAGCATTTCAGTTTTTTCCAGACACCATTAAATGCTAATATCCCCATATCCCTGTGCCTGTGCAATCTGTGAAAATCATTATACCCCAGAGAACACATCTGTTCAGTCATTCTATAACCAATCTTTCCTTTCGTCACTTATCCCCCTAATCTTTATCTCTCTGTTGCATGCGCATAACTGATCACTCAGTTGCTTACAGCATTCAGAGTATTTTTACCTTCATAATACTTAGTTATGCACATAACTACACATTTAACTACTCCTGTTGCTTTCACTCTGTGTGTGTGTGTGTCTAAAATTACTTTTCCTATACATATGGTGATAATGTTGTTCCACAGTTGTGCTTTAGAAATGGAGCAATTCTTTACCTATTCTTCCAGGAACAATGTGGTTATGTGAGCTTACTTTTCAGTAGACATTCATCGGATCTCATTGTACACTATTACAGGGAAAAAGTGTCACCAGCGCCATTTGGTTTTATGCCGCTAATTGTCTTAATTTGTATTGTTTATTTCTGTTTGTTAAGATATGTTTCAGTTTGTTGTAAACCACCTAGAATAGTGCCTCACACTGAAGGGTAGGTATATAAATTAAATTAAGTTAAATTTAATTAAAATTTTAGAAATTTCCCACCATACTCTCTCAGTTCGAGCAAAGTTCTCTTTCATACTCTACAGTTTGCTATCAGATTCTCCAGAGCCAGCCAGGTCCCACATGTCTGGCTCAAAGAGGTCCTCACAGCCAAGCATTGTGGGAGTTTTGCCCTCTGGACCTGGTTAATAGTTTGCCTCACTTTATCCATTCTTGCCTTAGAATTTGCCTCAAATTGCATTTTAATGTTACTAATAGGATGCTGACAACCACTGTGGTGTCAGACTAGAAATCAAGAGAGGTGGTTCAAAGCACCACTCACCTGTAAAAAAAAAATCACTGTTGGAAGGTAGTGGTGAGTCACTCCTTGAATGTCTCAAAAACTCCATTAGAGTCACCATAAATTGAAATCATTAAAATGGTAACATGACCTCAATTCTACAGATATCTTCTGCAAATGTGTTTCTCGTGATGTACTATTTAAAAATCTGTATTTCAAGTAACAAGTGGCAAGACCTTGTTGAAGATGAAGAGTTGTAAATTTGGTCTGAAATAATATGTCACTTCATCCCACTCTTTTTTCCACCAATTGCTGTTGAGACTAAACTTGGTAGGAAATTCATTAGGGTTCTCCTTGCAGCTGCTGTCAGCTGAAGAGCCACAAACCCCATGAGGCTAATTAACTTTTTGTTTTGTTTTCTAAATTAATAGCCAAAATATTTTGACACTTGAATCTGGGTCATCAACCCAGTTCAGTGAACTAATGGGTTTCTTTGTTGGACAAAAGAGTTCAGCCAAAGAATAAAGAATTATTCAAAGTAAATAAACAAACTTTTTTTCTTCTCTTTCAAACACCTGTATAGAAACTTGTTCTGATGCACACATATATTCATGCATACACTGAAAAACATGTATATTAATATATATATCATAACTATGTAGCTGACTGGATAGCTCAGTGATTTAGGTATCTGGCTGTGGAGGCAAAGTTTGTGAGTCCAATTACCCATGTAAATACAGCCAGCTTGTGTAGCCTTGCGCAAGCTGCACAGTCCCAGGGCACCCCCAGAAAAAGGGAATGGTAAACCACTTCTGAGTATTCTCTACCTGGAAAACCCTGAGAAAGGGCGACCATAAGTCATAATTTACTTGGCAGCACATCGCTGTTGCTACTATGCATACATTCACCTGATTTGCTAAACAGCAGATAAGGGCAGAAATATGTATACAGTGGTGCCTCGCATTGCGACGTTAATTCGTTCCGCAAAAGTCACTGCAGAACGAAAACGTCGCTATGCGATATTAAAAAGCCCATAGAAACACATTGAAACCTCTTCAATGCGTTCCTATGGGCTTAAAACTTACAGTTGAGCAAGGATCCTCCATAGCGCAGCCATTTTCGCTGCCTCTTAAGCAAGGAATCCATCCCTAAACACAGCGGGCGGCATTTTGTTTACCCGGTGGCCATTTTGAAACCGCCGATCAGCTGTTTTAAAATCGTCACTTTGCGATGCTCGGTTCCTGAAGCAGGGAACCGAGCATCGTAAAAGGAAATTCCCCCATAGGGAACATCGCAAAGTGATCGCTTTTGCACTCGCAAAAAATGCATCGCAAAGCGATTTCATCACTAAACGGAGCGATCGCTATGCAAAGCACCACTGTACTTACCTTTCCTGCTTTTCCATCCTCTGCAGACTTTTTTCTCCTCTGAAAAATAACTCTAAGAACTTTCTGTTCTTCCTCTTAATAGTCAAATACCTTTGCCCTGCAAGTTAAACTATTAATCTCATGAGTGCTGTTTCTTACTTTTATTGAAATGTCTTTAATCTGTATTAGATTTCACTGATTTTTTCACTGTTATCCATCTTGAGTGCCATTTGGTGGGTGAAAGGCAAGATGTAAATATAATGAAAAAATAAAAATTAGCAGACAGGAATTCTGCTGAAGAATGAGATATTCTCCCCCACAACACACTGTCACATAAAGAGACAAATAATGGTTTTTACCCCAACTTTCTTCTGCTAAATTTAATTCAATCTAATTTAATCTGATCCAGTGTTTTGTTTCTTTAAATATGGCTCCACTATTTTATTCTCTAGCAATATTTCTAAACAAATTCTATGAGTTAAATCCAATTCCTAGTCTCAACAAAAATAAGCCCGTTGAATGAGTGGGACTTGTGTAAATACTGCTTTCACATGTCCCCTGCATTGAATAGTCTTACTGTAATTGGGACTAATATTTGTGCATGGTTTTGTATAGAAATCGGCATAAGAAATGCATAACATGATTCCAATAACCTAGTGTTCTTTTATTGTCTTTGTTCTTCCAGCGTCGCCCAAGCAGGTGGCCTGCCATGAAATTTCGGAGAGGATCTGGACACCCTGCATATGCTGAAGTGGAACCTGTTGGCGAGAAGGAAGGTTTCATTGTATCCGAACAGTGCTAGGATTTCTCAGGCAGATCACCAGTACTGGCCTACAGGTGTAAGACATTTACTCTGCCTCTCATTGAAGAAAAGGAAACCTAAGCTGCTGTAACCCAGGAGAGAGAGACAGACAGACAGACAGAATGGATTTCTGGATAAACTTTCTCCAAGGAAAAAGAACTACATGCGGGATACTTGGTGACCCTTTCAGTGAGATTCTGTTTGTCAGACAAAATTGGTCAAGAGTATTTCAGTTGCATGCTTCTGAAAAACCTGTACTATGACAGTGATGGACACAGTTGCCACGTTCTGAGTTTAAGAGTAGGAGATGTAGAGCAATCCAGGAAATCTAAGGAAAGCTTTAGTTCCAAACAGTGCTTCCCTATTTGATCCAGCACCATGCTGTGCGCTTTTTAACTGTTACAAATGGGTGCTCTTTCATGCCCGGAGGCAATGCTCCTCCTTGTCAAGGCTGCTGGTGAGACCACTCCAATGCAGATAACATAGCTTAGCAATTTTCTATACTTTCATGAGCCATGCTATGGGGTTTTTTTCCTTTCCATTCCATAGACACAATATATATCTGAAAATAGCAGAGTGTTTCTTGTATATTGTAGGCTTCTATTGTTCGGACTGTGGTTTTTAAGGAAAAAAATCACAATTACAGTTCTATTGTTGGAAAAAATAAGAAAGAATTTGGTTTCAGGGTTTTTTGTTGTTGGTTTTTTTTTTAAGAAATGCAAGGTTTTCACTATGGTGAAAGTGGGCTGCCAGCTGGATTAAGTGCAGTGAAATTGGACTAATATTCAGTCTCAGTGTTCACAAAATAAAGACTGAGGATATCATTCCCTTGAGTGTAACAGTGTATTTACACCACATTCTTCATGCAGTTTGATGTTATTTTTACTGCCATGGCTCCATCTTATGGACTGCTGAGATCTGTAGTGTTTGATAATTATAACAATAGAATACTGTATTCAGAAGTGGTTTACGCTTTTGGGGGCATCCTGGGGCTGTGCAGCTTGCCCAAGGCCACACAGGCTGGCTCTTCTCCCAGTGGGAAATCAAGCTCCCAACCTCTGGCACAACAGCCAGACACTGAACCACTGAGATCCCTAGCCAGCCTAGTCTTTGGTAAGTTACTTAGAATTTTTTGCTAGAGAGTTCTTTGAGTGTTCCTTTGAACTAGAGCAACAAACACTCAACTGTTCATCAGGCTAAAAATCTGAGAATTCCATGGAATGAGGCCCTGGCAGTTAAATTCCTATCAAATTGCTATATGTGTAATGAAAATTCACTGTAAGATCCACAGAACTCAATGGGATTTAACATCAGAGGAACTGTGCATAGGCTTTGTCTGTTAGCTTCAGGCATATTGCTTGCAAACCCTGAAAGCCTGAATCAGAAGTAGCGAATGTCTCTGGCAAATGTTGGGAGGAAACTACCGTCATAGGCAACAGGGTAAGGGACTAGTATGATTTTAAATTCTTGCTGTTTTGTCACTGGTCTCTTAAGAATAGCATCGTTGGTTCCAATGCACCCCTCTCCTAGATAAACATTAAAAGTCTTGCAATCCCTGCAGATTCATGTAGAAATATTGTTTAATGCACATAGTAGCTTCATAGATATATACATAAATATATATATATATATTAAATATCTATTTTTTTTATAGCTAACACAAGGCAGGCTCTTGTGACTGTTAAAGATTGCATTTTTTGCCATCCAGACGATGGAAATAGATTGCATTACTGCATATTTCCACTGAGTTGTAAAATAATCCTTAATATTATAATAAATGTTTATGTTGTATAGGGAAAGTGGTTCATTTAAGTGCAGTGCTGCAACTTTGCCTGCCTTTTGGAACCACAGTTTCTTTAACAACAGAACCCTTTCCTTCCCTGATTAGGGAAAGATAAATATTTTTTAAAATCTGCCAGTGAAAATATTCCTTTGGATGGAAAGGGGGAAATATACACTGAGTTAGTAAAACATCTTTTCAGATTTTGTATGGACATCGCATTGTGAATTTTGCCATTCATCATTTTTCACATGCAATATGAGCAGAAGCACTTGAATTACGGTAAGGAACAACAAAGCAGTTTCAGGTTTTGAGTTACTCAGATAACTGTTTTAGGTGCCACCTTTATAACACAGTTCTTTACAATGTCATGTCAATACTTGTATGGTATCTGTTTTTTTCAAACAACAACCTGATTTTTACTTGTTACTTCCTTCAGTAAATAATACAATACCATATTTTCTCTGTTCATTATTTGTTCTGTTTAATCCATTTTGCTGTTTGTTACCAAGTCACCAAGAATGAGCTTAAGGACAGTGCTCTTGTTTTGAAACTGTGCTCTTGTGTTGAAACACCAACCATTATCTGTAGGTAAGAAAACATTTCTTACAATATCCTGTTCTCTTGTGTATGAAAGAAACATAGTATGCTGCCTGCTATTAGACAAGCTTTCTCAGCTGCCAGTAGTAAGCAGAGAAGAGCCATTGCCCACAAAGCCTTCCTTCCTACCAGCTCTCGATTCTCTTTTCTTTCCCCTTCTATTATTTTATTTAATTTTTATATCTTAGGCACTGTATCTGTTATGAATTATGTTATAACGTTTGTACTGATTTAATGTACGTATTTTATGTTGGAAGCCACCCAGAGTGGCAGAATCTACCAGATGGGCAGGATATAAATCAAACAAACAAACAAACAAACAAACAAACAAACAAACA